AGCATTTTACAAATACACACAGCAACTGAGGAAATGTCGCAATTTATCGGTGCCAAAGCTAGCTAAAAATCGTTCATATTACGTCGACGTTAATATGTATTTCAATATGACGGCACATCCGATCGATTTTTAATCATCATAATAAAACTTCAATAAACATGTACAGACAGTTCCGAGTTCCAAGTGGAGCAGTGCATTTAAATTATATTCCAAGCCCATAAACTAAGCAGGGATGTACATTCTAAGCAAATACAATTGATCGATTAATTTCTTTGAAATGAAATAATCTTCATTATTGATATTTCAATGATCCATTACTACCTTCTGTCGATCGTCGAATCGTTATCGAATAATCTTAATCGATAAATCCTTAGCTTACCAATGCTTTCCATCGAAGGTCATTCGATATTGATTCAACAATCGAGCCGCTGCTCCGTCACCACTCGGCCTCCTTCAAAACAAAGTCTAACCAAGGGTTGAGTCGTAGCCCACACATCAAAGAATATCAGGAAAACAAATTGAATGAAGACAAGAAATTAGAATAAAATCGCGGAAAACCCGAATAATTGCTACACCCTCAACGGCCGAAATCGCGTTAGAGTCCATTTACTCGTGCGTTCGAGTATGAGTTTCCGGAAGGGGGAGGATTCGGCGAAATCGGAGGGGGAGGGAGGGACGACCCTACATTCCGGCGTTGAATTGTACGGCTGGCTGCTCCTCGACGACGTAATATCCCGGCGCGATGTTCGAGAGCTTTGATCTCTCGTCTCGCGTTCCGGTCCTCGGCGACGACGCACAATGGATCCAGTTTACGGGAAATGTCGGACAAACTTTTGAAACTTTAAAAGGTCATAACTCCGTTCATAAGAAACTTTGTGCTTTTGATAGTGGTTCCCATTGGTTTCCTCGTAAAATTCTCCTCTAGAAACACCCATTGATATTTGAAATGTGATGGAATAAACATCTAAATTCGCAGTTTAGTCAAAAAGTTCTTGTCCGACCTTTCTGATTGACTCGACCCACTGTGCGGCGCTCGCGGAAAAGCCCCTTTTCCCGCGGCGCCAGCACCGACAACGCGTCCGCCACTGTCGCCCGTAACATATTTTCCGAATGGGACGAAGCGCGCGTAAAATTATTTCTAATTGCTGTCTTCCCGGTTCCTCTTCCGCCCAGACTTGAAGGGGTAACAGGGTTTTCAGCATGTTACTCTCCTGCTGCCGAGTTGTCTTCGAAAAATCGAGTTTGGTTTTGAAATAGGGGGTACTTCCTCTGACCGCTACGCGGTCCAACCTCTCAAAGCGCCTCGCACCCGGGGTTTTATGCAATACGCGTTACTCTCCTGATTTTATAACATGGAGTAAGATGTAGCTTCAGACTTCTCGAGTTTCTTTTCATGGTATATCGATTCATTCTTCCAGGGAATGAAAATCGCTTGCCTTTTTCTTTTCTGCCTCAACTTCTTCCTCAATCTCTGCTTGCACCAGTTCTTTCTCGTCCCCTCCTCCGCTCTCCATATCTTGTCGTCTCACTAGTTCCTTTTTTTAAAAAAATTTTCTGTTTGACTTGTTCTTTTTCATTCTCTTATTTTACCCCTATTTCCTGATTATTTCATTCTTGTTATCCTTTCCATATGCATACGTTTTACTTTTTATTACTTATCTTCTTACGCAACTTTTTACTTACAATTAGTCCTAATTTTTTATCCCACTTCAATCTTCATTTGTGTATAAAAAAGGCGAAATCTATACCTGCATCAGACTTAGTTCATTTCGACAGCGGCAATTCTTGAAAGTTGGCAACACTATTTCTCCTGCATTTAAATGTGTGTAAAACAATCGATTCTTAGTGAGACAGCTTTCCTCACCTAAAATCGATATTTTGAATGGATTTAAATGGAGAAAAACCGGTGTTGCCAACTTGCGAAGTCGCCACTGCATTTGGATCAGAGTTCAATTAACCCAATCATTTTTAGGAGGGCCTAAGAGCAAAAAACTCATGCTGCGTTGAAGTTGTGGCGGCCAAAGAAATCGAAGCTCAAATTATGTTATGATTACACTGTTCGATTTTGCCCCTTGCAACTTGTCCACGGCGCAAAGATTTCTTATTCCACAACTTTGAGCACTGAGTGCAAAAATAGGCGAAAAACGTGGCTTTACGATGTTCAAAAGTTAATTCTCCTCTGCAAACTTCAATATTTACATCAGCGAGAATATTAAATACTCAGCCGAATAAAGAGCTTGAATCGATTCTTGCAAGGATTTACAAGGGCTACAATCCGGGCCAATATGCCCGGGCGAATCGCGGCAAATTGGAAAATCAGGAGAAGTTTTCCCGTCGATTTTGAGCGAAAGTACTCACAATGCTTCTTTCGCTCCCTTCAGCTAAATCGCCCTATTCCTCCGTAATAACTTTTTATGAAGCATATTAACAACTGCGAACATTAACAACGTCCGTCGTCTCCCAGATGAAGTAACGTAACTCCATCCAGAGGTTGCAAAATTTACAAGAAAAATGCAATTTTTTACAGGAGTGCAACACTGTACTTTCAGCCCAAATTGTGTATTATTCTTGCGTTTGATCAGAAGAGAAATCAGCGAAATTTTCAGTTAAAAATGTCCAAAAGTTTTCTGGGAAAAATACTATTTCCCAGGGGAAATTTTGCAGTCCTGAGATCGAGTTACGTTCCTTCGTCATGAAGACGACACGTTATCCCGGGCGGGGTCGGAGCGGTATTTTAAAATGGGGAAATGATTGGTGACCGTAAATTGATAGGCTGGATACGTCGAAGTGGGCGCCAGGGAACGGAGCAGGGCCTCGCGTGAAGGAGAGAAACAATGACTAATTAAAACTAAAGTGATTCGAACAAGTGTCATAAATCCCGAGGCCAGCGGCGCGGAGGGGGGGGGGTGTCTTTTATTACTAAGAGCAAATGTTTGTTCCGCGGAGCCCCTTGCTGGTATTGCCCGTTCCTCCGGGATTCTCTGACGCCGAACGCCGGGGGACCGATTTTGGCGCCAAGTTCAAATCCACCGATAGCGGACTCGGACTTGCAAAATATGCTTCTTGATGCCGAAAGAAAGGCGTAAAAAAATTGATACCATTCCGGTTGAAGCACAAAACATTTTACGGCTTTTTCTTTTTCTTCTTCTTCTTCTTCTTCTTCTTCTTCTTCTTCTTTCTTCTTCTTATTCATCTTCTTCTTCTTCTTCTTCTTCTTCTTCATCTTCTCCTTCTGCAAAACATGAATATTAGTTAAATTGTCAGTGAAATTATTAGTTAAATCAAGTTAAATTGCTTACCTCCTCGATGCCTAAGCCGGGTCAAATTGAACCGCGGTTTACTAAAATCACGGATTTTATGGGGCCGAAACATACGCACTTTAGATGTAGGTCTAGAAATACATCGTAATGAAAAGGATCAGACATCAAATTGAAAAAAAAGCAAAAAGTGAGTGGAATTTTTCCGTCCACTTCCCGTAGAAATCCTAAGCCGTGTCAAATTGACCCGACTATCTCCTCCGCGGTTGGGAAATACGGTGCCAGTACACACGAGTTTGGTCAACAAATAAATCGCCAACGAAGCAGCAGACATAACATTTTAAAAAAGAAGAAAATTGAGTGGCAACACATGCAGCCGGAGACAGACTTATTCGGGCCTCGTTTTTTGTCATGGGAACGGAGTTCCCCATGATATTACAATCGTTCCGTTGCTTTCGCTATGGGATTCCCTATACCTCTGCGACCTTGAGCGTTTCGCCCAGTCTCCGATTTTTGGTTGATTTTCCGATGTATCAAAAACCGTTGTATTTTTTAGCCAATCATGTCTCTACGTCAAGTTGTGTTGATT